AGGGCCACGCCTCACGGCGCGATAGGCTGAGTGGACGCAGAGAGGGACACGCCTCACGGCGCGATAGGCTGAGTGGACGCAGAGAGGGACACGCCTCACGGCGCGATAGGCTGAGTGGACGCAGAGATGGACACGCCTCACGGCGCGATAGGCTGAGTGGACGCAGAGATGGACACGCCTCACGGCGCGATAAGCTGAATGGACACACCTCTTTCCAGCAGAGCTGCATGATGTTGTAGATACAGGTTGTGGCCTTTTTGGGCTTGTACAGTCGATGGCCTTGCATGACCATCATCACCACTTCATGGTTCTGGTTCTGCTCAAAGGGCATCTTTCCCTCTGTGAACACCTCCCACATTAAAACTCCTGAAAGGAAAATGTGAGGGCATCACATGGTGGGGCCTGTTAGCATGTGGTTAGCACATGGCGGGGTGTATTACCGCATGGTGAGGCCTGTTAGTGCAAGGCGGGGCGTGTTAGCACATGACGGGGCGTGTTAGCGCATGGCGGGGCGTGTTAGCACATGGCGGGGCGTGTTAGCGCATGGCGGGGCGTGTTAGCACATGGCAGGACCTATTAGCACATAGTGGGCCTATTAGTCGAAGACGGGGCCTGTTAATGTACGGCGGCTGTATTTCTGAGGTGGTGGGGCCCGTCACTGCAAAGATAGGCCTGTCAGCACATGACAGGGAATGTTAGGACATGCCTGGGCCTGTTAGCACATAGAGGCCAAATTTGCAAGGTGGCAGGGGTGCACAGTGGGGCCTGTTAATGCACAGTGGGGCCTGTTAATGCACAGTGGGGCCTGTTAATGCACAGTGGGGCATGTTAACACACAACGGGGGTGTTTCTGAGGCAACGGGGCCTGTTAGCACACAGCAGGTGCGGGTTTTGCAAGGCGGATGCTTACCGAATGACCACACATCCGACTTGCTGCTGTATCTGCAGAAATTGAAGACCTCAGGGGGGGACCATTTCACAGGAAACTTCACCCCTGAGGAACTTGTGTACTGGTCATCCAGGACGTACCTCAAGAAAAAAAAGAACATGGTAAAATACACAATGATTGCGCAATCCATTAGTGAAATGAATAAACTGAACTTGTTCATGTACACAGCAGAAGGTGAAAGCATATTCATATACTTAGCAGAACATGAACGTGTCCATGTATATAGCAGACTCTGAACACATGTCCATGGCACATAGCAGAATGTGAACATGATCATGTAAACTGTGAATACATGTTCATGCACATAGCAGGTCGTGAAGGCTTGTTCATGCACACTGCAGGCCATGAACACATGTCCATGCACATTGCAGGCCGTGAAGGCCCGTTAATGCACATAGAAGGCCGTGAAGGCCCGTTAATGCACATAGCAGGCCGTGAAGGCCCGTTAATGCACATAGCAGGCCGTGAAGGCCCGTTAATGCACATAGCAGGCCATGATGGCCCGTTCATTCAAACTGAACACCGTGAAGGCCCATTAATGCACATAGCAGGCCGTGAAGGCCCCTTCATTCACACTGCAGGCTGTGAAGGCCCGTTAATGCACATAGCAGGCCGTGAAGGCCTGTTCATGCACATTACAGGCCGTAAAAGCCCGTTCATGCACATTGCAGGCTATGAAATCCCGTTCATGCACATAGCAGGCCGTGAAGGCCCCTTCATTCACACTGCAGGCTGTGAAGGCCCGTTCATGCACATAGCAGGCCGTGAAGGCCTGTTCATGCACATAGCAGGCCGTGAACGTACGTTCAGGGTTCTGCCCTGTTAGACTGATGGTGTGGTCGGCAGACGCACCTCGCCATCCCGAAGTCAGACACCTTCACCTCCAGAGCGTCGTTCACCAAGCAGTTCCTCGCAGCCTGCTCAGGAGAACAAGCATTTTAACGTGAAACTGTTCCCAAACGGGGGTCAGGTGACCTCACCCCTGCTGCCTCATACATCACTGTGTCTGTGTGTGGACTGAAAGCCCATGAGAACATTTATATTCTGGTGACCCAGGTCCTCGACTCCACCTAAATGGGTGGGGGGGGGTCGTTTCATGTGGGTTTGTTCACCGAGATACTCAGGATTCCCAGCACTCCCAGCAATAATCGCTAATTACTCAAGTGCCGTTCTTTATATACCAAAGGGTAACTAGTGACAGGATCATCAGGCAAACCCTTGAATGCAGGTAAATGTTATTGTGTAGGTGATCTGACCGTAAAGGTTCAATGTGACTGATCCCAATGTAAGGCAGTCTCAGTTTGTACACTGACACCTCAGCACTGCAACAGCACTTTGATTTCACTCAGCATACCAGGTCCCTGTGGATGAAGCTGTTCTGCTCGAGGTAGACCATGCCCTCATTGACGTCCTGGCAGATGCTGAGCAACATCTCGGTGCTGAAGGAGCCACGACGCTGCCGGATGTAGTTCAGGAGACATCCCAGCTCCATGAACTCTGTGACGATGTACATGGGCTTCTGCTGTGTGCAGACGCCATACAGCTGCACCAGGTTGAGGTGCGACAGCTTCCTATTGGGACAGGTGCCCAGCATTAGTCAGCAGGCTGAAGGTGCTCGTGTGGAGGTACTGGGACACTTGGCCATTACACTCAGAGCAACGTTTCTGACATTTCATTGTGAATCCACAGGCATCAATACGGAGTTGGTCCCCCTTTAAAGCTATAATAGCTGCCACTCTTCTGGGAAGGGTCTCCATAACATTTTGAAGTGTGATCATACTAAGACATTTTGGACAATTTTATGCTTCCAACTAGGGCTGTGCAATATGGCATAAAATTCATATTGCGGTATAATTTGAACCATAGACGGTATATATTGCGGTATATGATTTGATCTGTAAATTTCAATATAACTGTTTTCGAAAGGGTAACATATGTCCATAGCAAAGGCATTGCAGCAGGAAGTTGTATAATAAACATTTCAAAGTAGTCATAAACGTAGAATATTTATTGAGCAAATCTGCAATTATAGAAAAAATATTAAAACATTTCAAGTAACTTCCCTGGTTTTATCTTATATTAAAAACACAGGTTGGTTTTGTAAACTGTAGGTAAGCAGAAAACAAGACACAGAACTAGACTAGTGTCATAACTCCATCAGTATGACCATCTCTCCCATAAAGGTCCTGCAGGGGTTCGGGTACCTGACCGGTGACCCGCAAATTTTGATGAAACGGGTGAAAAATATTCTACTGTGTCGGATACAGGTTCGGGTCGGACGGAGGAGAGCTTTCAAAACATCATGTGCCAACAAAAAATACCCTAGGGCTATATTTTGACAAAATCCCGGCATTCAAGATGATAAAACGTAAAATCCATATTTATTTACATATCCATCAGTTTATGCCTGCACGCACATTCCCGGAAATCTCTCCCACTTTCATTTTCAAAAAATGCATGCGATCTCCTCCAGTTATTCGAAATGGATGCTGAAGTAGTCAGCTGAGGCCATCAACTGTGGACGATATACTTTTTTAACACAGTTATATAAAGCACCGCACCAAACGCTAGTCTTCGCATTCGCGTAGGAATTCCAATCGGGTAATCAAAGGAAAATGGACAGTGCCCGTATAGGTAGCCTATAAAACCCAATACTGTGCAGGGTAGCCTAATGTGCATTTTATATTATATCAGTTTTATTAACACATTTAATTGTAAGCTGGTAAGGCTATGTGTGGGCATGGCAATATCAAACATTATTTGAGTTTGGCGGTAGGCAACTACCGTTTGTTTTGCTTATTATTAGGCTGACTATTAAGCAACATTTACATCTGGCTATGCCTTTTCAACTGATATTGCACATGTCACTGCTTGGTCGTTTGTTGTGGCAATACACTTTTGTCTTTAATTTTGGCTATCTGACTGATTTTCATTCGGGTGCGGGTCGGGCGTCGGTATTTATTTTTAGCGGATCGGGTGCGGAATTTTATTTTATTTCTGTCGGATAAGGGTTCGGATACGGGTTTAAGTATGACGGGTATGGGCGGGTGCGGAATGTCAAAACCAGACCCGTGCAGGACTCTGCTGCCGGGTGCAGCAATAATCATATAAACAATTTTCATATAAATCATGTAAATAATAAATTATTATTTGACGCGATTTTTGCGGGCGAGGAGCGGAAATTTCTGCGGTAGGGCGGTATAATCAAAATCTCTCCCGTTGGTCAAATTTATATCGTATACACAGTACTACTTCCAACTTTGTGGGAATAGTTTGGAGAAGGCCCTTTTCTGTTCCAGCATGACTGTGCCCCAGTGCACAAAGTAAGGTCCATAAAGACATGGTTGGATGACCGGCCTGCACAAAACCCTGACCTAAACTGCATTGAACACCTTTGGGATGAATTAGAATGGAGATTGTGAGCCAGGCCTTCACGTCCAACATCAGTGCCTGACCTCAGAAATGCTCTTCTGGATGAATGGGCAAAAATTCCCCCATAAACACTCCAAAATACCTACGGCAAAATCTTGTGGAAAGCCTCCCCAGAAGAGCGGCAGCTGTTATAGTTGCAAAGGGGGACCAACTCCATATTGATGCCTATGGATTCAGAATGGGATGTCCGAAAGGTTCCTGTAGGTGCAATGGCCAGCTGTCCCAATGCTTTGTCCATATAGTGTACATCAGAGAGCTCTGAACTTCATTCACCCACAGTCTAGTTCATCACAGAGTCACCTGCTGCATTCATTGACTTATCATGTTCCTCATTTCTGCAGAATTTTTGATACTTTATTATTTTTCTGCTTAAAACCTGGTTAAGTGTCTGCTCATACTGTTTCCGATATTTCACAGTGCTAACATCAAAACTTTATCGATATAGAAGGTTTCCAAGCCCCACCTTCATAAAACAGCTTTGCTAAGAAGACGTGTGTAATGCAGAGATTAATCTTTTAATGCACTTGCAGTAAGTCTTAATGTGACATGTTTCTGAGGGAAGTTGCAGACCAACACTAACCCAATCGCACATTATCTGATTCAGGCATTAGTGTGGTTATCGGTATAAACCCAAACCCTAAAAACAGCAGTTAAGGTCAGCAGAAGTTTAACTGGCTGCTGATGAGCCAGCGTCTTATTGCCTGTGATGTGGTCATGCGTCCAGACTCGGCAGTATTGCGATGATCAGTAGGGGTGGAGACCAAACATTATCTCATTAACACGAACTCTGCAGCGGTTTCACTCTTCTCCACCGCACCACAGTAAAAGGCCGACAGGCCAGTGTTTATGGACACACCAGCACATGGTATCTGCAGAAATCCTGATGTGAAACTTTCTTAAGAGCAAATGGTAAGCAGAAATATGCTTTACCAGAATCAATACCCCTACATTTACACTGCAGTGACAAGATCCACTGTTCATTCAAATTTGTATGAAAAATGGTCCAACGATTGACGTGTGAATAATCAATCAAAGTTTCTGATGCAGTGATCAAGACATGGGCACCTCAATTATGAGACATCCTCCTACCAAGAAACTTCACTCCAAACAGAGCAACAATGGATTAAGATGAAGACATTCAATACCCTATTGTCCAACATTACAAGCATATAAAGAAGCAGATTTAACATAGTCTTGAATATATGAAATGGCGCCTTCCTGCGGGTTGTTGCTTCAAAAACAATGCTTTAGACAAGACGCCAGGCTAGCATGTGACCTGACAGCTGCTACAGCTCATGCTACTTTCAGCAACAATTGTTGAACTTCCACTTAAACAGCTGTCATGTTAATTGTATCAAACGTTATCAAAACTAAAGGGGGTCCTGCAAAGCAAGATTAGCTTGCACTCTCCAAAACCCCTTATATATCCCTTTATCCATCACTCACACACACACTGTCACAGACACACAAACTCACTCAGCGTATGCGGCTGGGAAGATGACAAAGGTGTTGACATATTTTACAAGAACATCCAGGTTCATTTATAATTACATCATTCAAAGTGCAAAGGATAGAATAAATGGTCTGATGACCATATAACTAAAAGAGACAGACATGTCCAGCAACGTGTTGTTGTTAATTACAAATCAGATGCAAAGTAATCTGGAAAACGAAAGCGCAGGCAAGAGTTACTATCAACTCAAAATGCTAAACCAATATGTCATTACTGCAGACTACTTATTGTAGATATTAACAAGATTTAGTACACATAGGGGTGCAAAACACAAAAATGATGTGCATCAAAGGTCTGTCATTAACAACTTAGTAGTACACCCTTCAAATAATTATTTACCCAACTGTATATACTATGTTTTTTTCCTATACATACCTATGATATAAATTGGGGACAATAAGAGAGTAACAACAGAACATTTACAACAATACAGTACCCTGAAATAAAAGTTCTGCGAATGTGGTCTTCCTCTAAAAATATCTTATTGCACTGAACCCACTCTTCTTCATAAGTATAGTTTTTTTAAATAAACTTTTTTATTAAAAAAAAAAAGGAACGTTACTTGAACACATACATTGCTATTCCATGTCAATCAGTCTGATAACCATTCAGCTATTTAAGACATTTTGAGACTTTTTAATGCCCTGAGGACACCCTGCAGCAGCCTGGGGGTGTACAATCACAGGCTTTTTATTGCCCTGAGGACACCCTGCAGCAGCCTGGGGGTGTACAATCACAGGCTTTTTAATGCCCTCAGGACACCCTGCAGCAGCCTGGTGGTGTACAATCACAGGCTTTTTAATGCCCTGAGGACACCCTGCTGCAGCCTGGGGGTGTACAATCACAGGCTTTTTAATGCCCTGAGGACACCCTGCAGCAGCCTGGGGGTGTACAATCACAGGCTTTTTAATGCCCTCAGGACACCCTGCAGCAGCCTGGGGGTGTACAATCACAGGCTTTTTTTATAATTGTGGGCAGTGGTGGCATTAGATTGCTGGGGGATAACAAACTGCGGCTAATCAGGGTTATATGCAGCCATGCTTGGTATGCTGAGGGAAAGGGTGGCACTCACATCATGACTCTGGCTTCCTCTATGAAATCCTCCTCCAGCATGGCGCCAGGGCGGATGGTCTTGATGGCCACTTTGTGCTGAGCTCGCCACTTGCCCAGGCGGACCACGCCGTACTGGCCACTGCCCAGCTCCTTCATGAAGGTCAGCTCCGATGGATTAATCTCCCACTTCTCTGGAAAGGGTCACGTGCCACAGTAGCATAAGTGTGCAGAGGAACAGGCAGAGCGGCAGGTAAAGGAACAGACAGAGTAACAGGTGAAGGATGGCCTGTATATCGATTAGCATGGCTTCTTACCGTAACTAAATCCAGCCGTGGTGGGGGCAGATTTCCCTTCTTTTCCCACCGGATACCGAAGCCTAGACACCAGCCCTGTAGATGCAGAGTGCACCATGACTGTCAAGGGAAACATACTAGACCCAACAGTCCCCCGGGACAGGCAGGTAAAGCAAGCGCTTAGAGCGGGTTAGCAGGTTTCCGAGAGCCCTGTGCAGGCAGCATACCGGCTGCATTGTGCTGGTGGTACTCGATGAGTTTCGGGATGCTGCTGAAGTGATACTTCTCGGCAAGGTAGTACTGCCTGGGAGTGGAATCCACTTCCTTGATGTGGTAATGCCGAATGGACGAGCTGCCCTCCCTGGAAATGGGAGCCCAAAATCAGCTCGACGACTCGGGAACAGAGCATAGCTGGTAGGTCTATCGCAGAGTAAAAGGCTTCCCAGTTATGGACACTGCCACCACTCACCCGGCTGATTTGGTGTAGAGGGACAGAGTATATTTGTATGTTCCTGAATTACTGGAGTCTCTGACGAGGAAGCTGCCCTCCTTGTCCTGGGAGGAAGCAGGCAAAGACAAGGTCATTAAGAGAGTCATTAAGAGAGTCATAAAGAGAGTCATTAAGAGAGTCATAAAGAGAGTCATTAAGAGAGTCATAAAGAG